CAAGAAGTCCTTTTACTGAGATTTGTGAATTGTTATTAATGTTTTCTTGTAACTTTCACCTGTCACTGACAATCGTTTCCAATATTTTTGGATTCTTACTGGCTGAAATAATTTGATTTTTAAAATATTGTTGTTTGGCTTTGCATAATTCAGCAACACATTTATTTCGGTAACTGTTTATTGTTGGTAAAATATCTAGAGAACAAGAGGAAGTTTTCATACTAGTTCTTGTTCACTAAGCCTGTGATAGTAAAGAGAATGAACTAAAAATGTGATTTACCTCTTCATAGTGAACAGATGAGCAAGATGACACAATCTGAGCTCTAATACTGACAATTTTATTAATGAAAAATGAACGAAATAACTCACAACTGTCTGAAGATAATTCATTAGAAATAGGTGATTTATGAATTAAAGAGTTAATGGTTTTAAATAAATGTTTCGGATTGTGTGGATTAGAAGCAATGAGGGCCGAGAAATATTTAGACCGTTCTTCTTTGACCACCCTATTATAATCTTTCAGCAGATTTTTCATGTTAATAAAGTTACAGCTCAGATTATAAGATTTGTTTTCGCTCAGCACGTCTGCATGCCCTCCTAACGGATCGGACACGATCATTAATCCAAGGTGCTGGTTTGGTCATCTTAGAGTGGGGTTTAGACATCTTAAAAGGAGCTGCAGTGTCTATAGTTGCTGCACATCTGCTTAAAAATTCTGTTCCTTGTTCATCTGTAGAAAGAGATGAATTTGGCTGTTGGAGCTGAGGAAAATCTTGATAAATTTTACAAAACTGTCCCACTGCCTGAGATGTGGTAGGTCTAAAATGATGAGAAGTTTGGTCATTTGAGGTCTCAACTGCTAAAACTAAATAAAATGGCATCATGATCAGAGACATGCATATTGCTAATAGAAAGATTAAATATGCTGAGGCCTAATGTAATAATTAAATCAAGAGTGTGACCATGTTCATGTGTAGGGCCAGAGTCATGCTGACTACAGTCAAAAGTGTGAATAAGATCAATGAATTCAGATGCAATTCTGTCATTCTGATCATCAACATGAATATTGAAGTCACCAAGAAGAATAACTTTCTCATAACAGTAATGATAGAAAGAAGATTACCAAATTCAGTTAGAAAGTCACCCATAGGGCCACGGGAACGATATAGCAACCCAATAAGAACAGAACACTTTAGACTATTTATGGCCTATATTTTGGCTATAGAAAAAGAAATTATGTAACATTTTTCTAAAATTTAGTCAACAATCACATTTTTTAACGTTATGTGATGCTAAGCTATCTTTTTCAGAAACAGAATTAGATTTATTGACCAAGAGTTTTTAGACATTTGACTTGGTGTCGCTGAGGTGCAGAACATGAAATGTAAACAAAGAAATAAAAAAAGAAAATATGTGTATAAAAATAAAGTCATATTTCTTGACCTAGGTTTTTTGAGAATGTAGATTAAATAAATGCAACCTAACTGCTAATTAAGCTACAAGCCTACAGCTACAAATGGGTATTATTTCTTTACTAATTGTAGTTTATTCGTCTTTTTAAATAGTTATATTTAATATCATTTTACTCCATATTTATCCACTCAGTTCAGATACAGGATGCAGATGGATCCTGTGTAACTCGGTCACATCGTTCCTTGTTTCTCAGGTTGAGTTGATGCAGAACCTGGCTGACATCATCATGGGAACAGTCCAGTACAATGAAGAGGGGGTGCTCATGTCCATAAAGGAGCTCTGTGAGGTCATGACCAACACCAGTGATGCAAACAAAGCAGAGATGGGAGCCTATCATCGACTTGTTAAACTATCAGAGGTACAGAAAACCCTTCAAAAATATTCTTTAAAGTGGACATGTCCTGCTTTTAAATCCTTTTTTCACATTTGGGTTCTATATAAAGTTGAACTGCAATGTTTTGCTCTGAATTCCTCCTTATTGTATCTCCACAAGCCCCCCTTTCACCCCCTTTCTGAAGTGTGTCTCAGATCAACTCGTTTTGAGGCTGTCTCTTTGACTCCATACAAGGATTTTGCTGACATGTTCTTGTAATGTTCAGAAATGACCAGCAGATGTCAGCAGTGAGCCATTTCTTTCAGAGCTGTTGCTCCTCACTCACCTGGATAAAAACAAAAAGGTGCTTCTGTGTTTCTTTCAACTTAATTGTTTTTTTTTTTCTGTTTCATGTGTGTAATGTGTAGCTCTACCGCTCCAGCTCTGATGAGTCATGCCTGGACATTTCTCATGAGAAAGCCATGAAGGACCTGCTGGACACGTCTGTCCACACCGGCAGAAGAGCTGAGAGACAGTGGACCTACCAGACCTGCACTGAGTTTGGCTTCTGTACAGCACACTAAATCTCTCTCACACACATAAAAACACACACTGACCCATGTCTAACCTCTGTCTGTGTGCTTGTGTTTGTAGACCAGACCTGTGAGGACAGCACCTGTCCATTCTCTGGGATGCTGACCCTGCAGGCTCAGACTGAGCTCTGTGCCAAGGTGTTTGGGATTTCCCAGCATTCCCTTCCAGCACGTGTCGCCTTCACAAACAGTTACTACGGAGGAGTGGACCCACACACTCACAGGGTTCTTTATGTCAACGGTAGGGCCTGTTTCACCGCAGACCAAACCCACAGGAAGTAACTGAGCCGTCACACAACCGGAGACAGAAAGCAGAACATCAGACTTTATTTTCTGAGCTGTCAGAAACTACACGAGAGCTGTTTATTGCAGCACGATGAGACAATAAAGCACGGGTCTTAAAATGTGTGTTTTGTCACTGCAGGAGGAGTGGACCCGTGGAAGGAGCTGTCAGTGGTTCAGGACAGAAGCGAGGAGGGAGACGAGGTTCAGACTGTTTTCATTGCAGACACGGCTCACTGTGCTGACATGTCAAATCCAAGACTCACAGACCGCCTGTCACTCAGGAGAGCCAGACAGGTTTGATCCAGATCTCTGTCAGTCTGTAGGAAATATGCTGCCCTCCTCTTTACCTTCTCCTACATTCATCATCATTTATTTACCCACAGATTAGTGACTTTCAAACTGTTAAACAGTGGCTCAACTAAAACTTCCTGTTTTTAAATGAAGTGTTTTGATGATGAAGCTCTGTGCAACTTTGGCATTCTGACATCCTCAGTTTAAATTTTGTAAGGATCTGAAATCAGAACTATAAGCCTCTGTAGCCGAGGCTAGCTTCTTTGGTTACGTCTTTTAGCCAAAGTCATTTAAAATCATCCGAACCAGGATAAAGCTTTTATCATCTCCTGTAACGCTCTTTATGTTGGATCCTCCCTCAGCTGCCTTCAGCTTGACCAAAAATCTGCAGCCCATCTTTTAACTAACACTCCAAGACTTGAGCACATCACTCCTGCATTATTTTCTTTATTTGTTCATTCTACAACTGGTTTTAAACTTCCGTTGTTTATTTTTAAAGCTTTTATTGACCTTAGCCCACCTTGTTTAGCTTAACTCAGTAGATTTCCATGAGTGTGAGAGGACCTGAAGGTCAGCAAATACATTTTCTCTACAAGTGCAAGGTCCAAACTCAAACAAAGAGCTCACTGAGCTCTTCCAGTCGCTGCACTTTGGATCCTGAATCCTCAGAACTTGATAGCAGAATAAAGTCACAAACATGCTTGAACATACACTCACCGGCCACTTTATTAGGTACACCACGCTAGTAATGGGTTGGACCCCCTTTTGCCTTCAGAACTGCCTCAATTCTTCGTGGCATAGATTCAACAAGGTGCTGGAAGCATTCCTCAGAGATTTTGGTCCATATTGACATGATGGCATCACACAGTTGCCRCAGATTTGTCGGCTGCACATCCATGATGCGAATCTCCCGTTCCACCACATCCCAAAGATGCTCTATTGGATTGAGATCTGGTGACTGTGGAGGCCATTTGAGTACAGTGAACTCGTTGTCATGTTCAAGAAACCAGTCTGAGATGATTCCAGCTTTATGACATAGCGCATTATCCTGCTGAAAGTAGCCATCAGATGTTGGGTACATTGTGGTCATAAAGGGATGGACATGGTCAGCAACAATACTCAGGTAGGCTGTGGCGTTGCAACGATGCTCAATTGGTACCAAGGGGCCCAAAGAGTGCCAAGAAAAGATTCCCCACACCATGACACCACCACCAGCAGCCTGAACCGTTGATACAAGGCAGGATGGATCCATGCTTTCATGTTGTTGATGCCAAATTCTGACCCTACCATCCGAATGTCGCAGCAGAAATCGAGACTCATCAGACCAGGCAACGTTTTTCCAATCTTCTCTTGTCCAATTTCGATGAGCTTGTGCAAATTGTAGCCTCAGTTTCCTGTTCTTAGCTGAAAGGAGTGGCACCCGGTGTGGTCTTCTGCTGCTGAAGCCCATCTGCCTCAAAGTTCGACRTRYTGTGYRTTCAGAGATGCTCTTCTGCCTACCTYGGTTGTAACGGGTGGTTATTTGAGTCACTGTTGCCATTCTATCAGCTCGAACCAGTCTGCCCATTCTCCTCTGACCTCTGGCATCAACAAGGCATTTCCGCCCACAGGACTGCCGCTCACTGGACAGGTTTACCTAATAAAGTGGCCGGTGAGTGTACATATAACAGGGAATGCAAGATACACAATTTTTTTTGTAGCAACAGTCTTGACGTGTTCAAAAAGGAGTAGGAAGAACTAAAAACCTATGAGCTCAATACTGTTTTCAGATGGACCCTCATTATTAGTTAAAAAGAGAAACAAAAAAGAAGAAGAAAAAATCTTGACATACTTAGAAAAAGAAAAATACAATTCTACTGTTGGATTTTGACAATATCAGTTGTGATAATTTAACAGTTCCCTCTTTTTATTTCAGTCTGGTGTTCCCAACACTCTCAGTGCCTGTTAGCATCTCGACCGGCATCATTTAAATATAGACATGAATATATATTATACAATCCTTTGCAATATTACTACTTCTCACAATAATTTTGTTCTGACATATAATATTTATTGTATTATATCATATATTATTTATTATATCATATAATATTTGACATATTTAACAGATCTGTTAGGTCTGAATATTTGTTATTACCTGTCGTTCTGGGTATAAACTGATTCATCTGATGTAGTTTTGTGTTCATGTTCTGTTCAAAACTGCATTTTAAAGTTTACCCACAGCCCGATCTGACGTGTGTAAAAAAACATAAACATCCTTAAATTCAGTTTCAACAAAGTTTATAAGGTTTTTGTCAGAACAGAAGAAGCAGAAGAGATTGAGTAGTTTATTGTTTTTGTGCACATTGAAATTCTAAGCCCCAGTTTTAAATAGCATCAGAACACGTTTCGCACGTTGACTTCACTTTGTCTTAATGTGCATAATATAAAACAGTTTGCACTTATACATTTTAAAAGTGTGACTTCTTTATTTTGTTACAATTTTTACAAGTATGTTATTAGTTATAATCTGCATAACAATTTCTGTATCAGTTAGAGGATCTGAACATTGTTACTAAGATTTGAAGCCCCAATTTTTGCTTTCTTTCTTTTGTGACGTTTCTGAAGTAAACAAATAGTAGAACTTTGACCTCAGTGTAAAAAAAAATACATCTATGATAAATATTAATAGTAAATTTACATTAAACGTAGGGAACGTTGAAACGTACAACTGTTCAGAAACACTTACAATAACATCATCTTTTAAAGCCACCTGACAGCCTGTTGCATCACAAAACCAAATGTAAACTGGTGTCTCTGGAGAGTTGAAGCTGTTTTCCTGTTTTTCTGTCTCTCAGGAGATTCAGCGACATGTTGCCAGCTGGTTGAGGACAGCCGACACACAGAAGAAGAAACAAGAAGGTTCCAGTAGAACCTGAATCTGATCTCGTCATGCTCCTCTATTAATCTGTCCTCTGCCCCATCATCCCTGTTCACTATTTGCTTTTTACTTTTTCCTTTTGTTTCTTCAGTAACAGTGAAGGTTTGAGTTTAATTGGAGAGAAGCACTATGAGAGGTTTGAATTGCCTTCCAGCTCACTAACATTTATGTGCTGATAAAATTACTTGTATTTTATTTTTTCTGCAGCATTTATCAGCTGTTGTTCCCTTGGCCCATCACTAGGGTGTGATGTTGCAACATCAGCAGGGAGCGTCTTGCTTAAACACTCAAAATCAAAAGAGTTTTTTTTTTTATTAAAAACAGTAAAAACAAGAGGAACATTTTGTTTGGATTTCTATTTATTTCTAATTGCTTTATTCCAAAGGGATTATTTTATTTTTATTTATTAATTTTATTTTGCTGTTTGTGGATGTGATGTAGTTGTTTAATTTTTAACAGTAAGAGAAATCCTGAAGATGTGGGTTGTTTGTGGGAGAAAGGTGAAGGAGCATCTTTGTCCCCAAGGCCATCTGTTTCCGTGTGTGTGTGTGTGTGTGTGTGTGTGTGTGTGTGTGTGTGTGTGTGTGTGTGTGTGTG